TGAAAAATAGTTACGCGTAGTAGAGATATCCTCATAAACCTCTATGGATATAGTAGCCTGATAAATGATAAAGTTATTATTCAAATTGATTGAATATGAAAATATGATATTTTTTATGTTATTGACTTTATAAATCTATTTTAAAAATTTTGTTACGGTAAGTATACATAAATGATTTTACTAATGATAAATGAATTTTTATTAAATTAAGAGCTCAATTTGTTGTTTTTATGATTTCTACCAACGTTCGTTTTTATGTCGGTGAGTAACGTAATATTTTTATTAGACTAGTGTAGTTCACTATTTCATTAATCATTTCAGATAAAGAGAACCAAAATTTAAAACTCGATCCACAAAAGAGTTGCGAGTAAGATGTTCAATATGTTTACTTTTCATTTATTTATTTAATTATTAGTTGTTATTTTATAATAATAATTATTGTAACCCTATTGGGTATCATGAGTTATTATCTAATGAATGTAAACCCTAATTTATTGTTTCACTTCAGCATTCAATTCATAATTTATTTTCTTTTAAGTTCACGAACCGTTACAAAAAATTTATAGTTTTACAATTTATTAGACTATTTTTTTCTTTTTCATTGGCTTGGGAATAAAAATAAAATTAATTTGAATTTTTAATCCGTTATAACTATCAGACTAAAAAAATTAATCGTGATCAAACACGATAATTCTTTTGCTAAAAAATTATTAAAATTTTTTTTATCGTGAGACTAAGAAATATTTTTAGTTTGCAATGAATTATTATTGATTACTAGCTAAATAAGGCAATGCATTAATAATTTTATTATATTTTTAAATACAATGTAATATATATTTATTATTGTGTTAAAAAATAGTAGAACTTTAAAACTTAAATTTTTGTAAATATAAAAATATATCAAATGACTCAAAAGTCAAGTATATATATTATTATTATCTTCAGTTTAAATTTATTATATTATATATGTATTCAATATATTAAAAAAAATATATCATCAACACAAATTTATATTAAGAATAATTATTTTCATAGTAATACCAAGTTAGTCTCTTTAAAAAACAAACTAAAATGATATATTTTATAAATACAACACATAAAAGAATAATACCTTTTTTTTTTTTAAGAAACTCAATAAATATGGGATTATAATTTTACAATTTATTATTTTTTCTATTGATATTTAATTTTATGGCAGTAAGAAATGTATTTAGGAACCAAACATCGTAATATATTTATAGTTTGATTTTATTTTTTAGTCCAACATAATATATTTTTATTTTTCACTATATAAAAATCAAACTTATATTAAATTTGTATGTTAAATAGATGTGGTATTGTGATGCAGAGGGCATGGTGTAACGACGATTGCTATTAATTCATAAAAAAAAAAAGTCGAGTGAAACGACATCGTTTGATATCCAGAAAAAATGACAAGTTTCGAGCTTCCAAAAATTACAGCCTTCCAGCCAAAATCATAGGGGCTTGCATGGCGTTAGCTCATTTACTTCTTGCAGATTAAGCTGATTTACATAACAAACCCTAACCCTAATATCAAGAGCTCGTGAACTTAGTCACAGCCTTGGTACCCTCAGAGACCGCGTGCTTAGCTAACTCGCCGGGCAGCACAAGCTTAACAGCAGTCTGGATTTCTCGAGAAGTGACGGTCGGCTTCTTATTGTACCTCGCGAGCCTGGAGGATTCCTGAGCAAGCTTCTCAAATATGTCGTTGATGAAGCTGTTCATGATTCCCATAGCCTTGCTAGAGATCCCGATGTCTGGATGCACCTGCTTGAGGACCTTGAAGATGTAAATCTTGTACGTCTCACTGCTCTTCTTCATTCTCTTCTTCTTCTTGTCGCCACCAGCACCGGCTTCCTTAGGAAGCTTCTTGCCGGCTTTTGGCATCTTCTCCGAAGGAGCTTTCTCGGCGACGGACTTCTTCTCCTCCGCTGGCTTCTTCTCGGCGGGCTTCTTTTCTGCTTTTGCCATTGAAACTGAGCTGCTAACTTTTGGTAAGCTAGGGTTTCGCTTGGAAAGGTAGTCGAGGGAGGAGGGAGACGACTGACAAGGTTATGGTCAAGACGGGCACAACCTTGGCGGATTTCTAATTTATACACTCGCGTAAGCGGGTTTGATTGGAAGATACAGCGAGACGCGGATCAATGGCGTGTCGAAATAACAACCGTTGGATTATGTTGTCAGATCGAGCGCTTGAAAATGCGTGAAGTCTGAATGGAATGCTACGTGGCGAACTATCATTTGCTGTTTCTAACTCTTTGGATCCATGACCTGGCGTTAAGCGCGGGCAAAGAAGGTTAGGATAATTGAAATTATGAAAATGCGGGGCAAGTGTAATTCCTTCCCTCCAAAATCCAAATTCTTTTCTACCGAAGCAAATTTCACTTTTAACTGCATGGTTAAAATTTAAAAATATTCTATACGACCAATTTTATTATCCATGTAAAAGGTGATTGAATAATCAAATTATCTTGAGCAAGTTTATATGTTAGAGAAATATGAACAACGGATAACGCTGAAAAAAGAATCCAAAATAAAAAATTTACGAACCTTTTTCGTGAGAGATAAAAATTGATATAACATTATTTAGATAAACTAATATATTTTAAATTTTATTTATTTATTTTAAAAAATAAAAAGTATTATGTGTTAATAATTAACTATGTATAAATCATATAGATATACGAGAGGGAGGAAGAGGTACATCATATTTTAAATCATACATATTATTTAATTATATACAATTATTATTATACTAATTATGATGCAAGTGTATATGATATTCAAAAGAGTGATTGAAAATCTCTAAAACTATTACATGTTAAAACTAGGTGGATAAATGGCAAGAGAAAGAATGTCCAAGTTGCCATGAAGATAGATATAAGTAGAACTTACGATTAGAATTCGTTGGGAATATTTGGAAGATATATTGCTCAAGTTTCTGCTTTGATCAGAGGTGGGTAAACATTTTGATGACCTGTGTTTCCTCGGTTTCTTACCGGATCCGGGTGAATGAGAGTGACATGGTCCGATCAATCCGCATAGGGGTCTGCGGCAAGGGGACCCTTTATCACCATACTTGTTCATACTGTGTGCTGAAGGTCTCTCGGCACTGTTTTAGCAAGCGGAGGCGAGGGGTTTAATTAATGGAACTAAGGTCTGCGTACGGAGTCCGAGTATTTCTCACCTACTCTTTGTAGATGATTCATTCTTTTTCTTCCGTGCAAGTATGGAGGAAATTGTGCAGGTTAAAGCTATTACAATGCAGTATGAAGAAGCTTGGGGGCAGTCCATCAACTTCCAGAAGTCGAGTATCTTCTACAGTGCAAACACGCCTGCGAATCTCTGTTCACACCTGCATGGACTCCCGTGGGGTACATAATTCTCTAAACCATGGCAGTTACTTGGGTCTACCATCGTTGGTGGGTAGAAGTAAGAAATGGACCTTTGCTTTTCTTAAAGACATGCTTCGTAAAAGACTGTTGGGATTGGCACATAAATTTCTATGCAAACCGAGGAAGGAGATTATGTTGAAGGCGGTTGCACAAACATTGCCAACTTTCTGCATGGGGTTTTTAAATTACCGGTAGGGTTGTGTGATGATCTCTGGAAAATGATGAACATTTTCTGGTGGGGCATGAAGTCGGATGGTACGAGGAAGCTGAGTTGGGAAAATATGTGAACAAGAAAGATGGCATTTTTGTCAGTGTTCTCCGGATGGATGACTGGGTGCAAGTCCTGTGAAGAACACTGCTCTGTCCGATGATATCAATCAACACCAAGACAAAGCAGCCAAGCGTGCAAACTTGTCCACATTAGCAAGATCATCCTAATCAGCCTTCCAACTCAGCACCAACCTTCAGGACAAACAACGCATGGCCGACAACTGTTAAAGAAAGGACCGTGATCGTCCCTTCCTGCATTTTCTGCTAATGTCCTTTGATTTGCTGGGTTTTCTGTTATGATTTTCTGTAGGAATGTTTGGTTTGTTTTGTTTTCTTCTCGAGCCAATCGGCTCTCCATCTGGAGCAGTTCATTGCTCTATAAATCTGTAAGCTTTCTCATTTGCAATATATGAAAACACAAAACCATTTTGATAAGCTTTTTTTGTTTTAACTAGTCCCCGTTCCAAGCAGAATTACAAGGATGCAGATAGGCGCTGAACTACATCGTGGAGAACGTCCGAGGTCGGGGAATTGTGGAGACAGATTCCCCTGTTGGTACAGATAACATTAACTGCGGCGGAAGAAGATGCTTCGGAGTTTGGATTTATCATTGCAGACTGCAGAGAATTGCTTAAGTAGAGACCAGATATTAAGATCACATAGACTGACAGAACTGCAATGGAGCGGTGTACGAACTAGCCAAGCTTGTTAAACCAGAAGTTCTATTAGTTAAGCTTTCATTTATGGGATGCTCATATTGCTGAATTATTTTAATGATTAAATGTTATTTGATTTCCTTTAAAAAATATATATTTTTACTCAAAATATATATATAAAAAAAAGATTTTTATCAGAATCTTATAAAAATATAGTAGCGTATCATGATTACCCATTTTAAAAAAATAATTTATTCACAGATTAAAAAATGGGTAAAAGATAATGGAAAAAATGATAACTTTAATCATTTATTAAAATTATACTTAAAAAGCCCATAAAAAACTTTTACATCTGGACTTAAGACATCGGAGACCCGACCCGCCCAACATGCATTTCGAGTCGGGTTAGCCACAGTACCCTCCCAGTTTCACAGGGAGGGCACCGTCTGTGACTCTGCTACCCCTGCGATGCCTCCCCATTGAACGAAGAGAAGCTCTTTACACAACGAAATGAAGCTCTCTCGCTCTTACCGGCATTTCTCAAACCCTAATTTCTTCTCAAAGCACAGAAACTTCTGTGCCTCCAACAACCTCACCTCCCAAGATAACGATGACAAAGAAAATTCCCTTTTCATCTCTAACCTTGAACGCATCATACGGGGAAGACGGAGCTGGAAGATGGCCTTAAACGACCCTTTCATTTGGAGCAATTTGAAGCCTCACCACGTTGAACAGCTCTTGATCCGAACCATTGATGACTCACGATTAGCTTTGAGGTTCTTCAATTTCCTTGGATTGCACAAGAATTTCCACCATTCAACGACGTCGTTTTGTATATTGATTCATGCACTGGTCCAGGCTAACCACATCTGGCCTGCCTTTTCCCTCCTGCAAACTCTCCTCCTTCGGGAGCCAAAGTCAAACGATGTTTTTTCTGCCTTTTTGAGGTGTTATAAGAAATACGAGTTCTGTTCTAGCGTAGCTTTTGATTTGTTGATTCAAAATTACGTGCAAAATAAGAGAGTTTTTGACGGCGTTACAGTGTTTAAGCTCATGAGGAAGTGTTCTTTGTTGCCTGAAGTGAGGACTTTGAGTTTACTTTTGAATGGACTGGTGAAAATTAGACAATTTGGTGTAGCTTTAGAATTCTTTAATGAGATTGTCGATGTAGGTATTCGTCCTGATGGATATATATACACAGGGGTGATCCGGAGTTTGTGTGAATTGAAGGATTTTGTTAGAGCAAATGAAATTATTCGGTTAATGGAGTCAGATGGTTGTGATTTGAATGTTGTGGCTTATAATGTGTTGATTCATGGACTCTGCAAGAACCAGAGAGTTTCGGAGGCTGTTGAGGTAAAGAATAGCCTGGTTTCGAAAGGACTGAGAGCTGACACAGTGACTTACTGCACTTTGGTGCTTGGTTTATGTAAAGTGCTAGAGCTTGAGGTGGGCCTGGAGCTGATGAATGAAATGTTGGAGTTTGGTTTTGTCCCAAGTAACTCTGCAGTATCAGGACTTGTCGAAGGATTGAGGAAGAAGGGGAAGATAGAAGAGGCTCTCAAATTGGTGAATAGAGTTCGGTTAGTTGGCGCATCCCCTAATTTGTTTGCATATAATGCGTTGTTGGATTCATTGTGCAAAGATGGGAAATTTGATGAAGCAGAGTTGCTTTTTAATGAAATGGGAGAAAGATGTTTGTGCCCAAATCATGTAACTTACTCAATTTTGATTGATTCTTTTTGTAGAAGGGGGAAAATGGATACGGCAGTTTGTTTTCTTGGTAAAATGAGTAATCCAGGGATACAGTTGACTGTCTATCCCTACAATTCTCTGATAACTGGGTACTGCAAGTTGGGAAACCTGAATGCAGCAGAGTGTTTCTTTGCTGAGATGATTGATAAAGGATTGGCCCCAACTGTGGTGACTTATACATCATTGATCAGTGGGTGTTGCAGTGAAGGAAAATTCCACAAGGCATTTAGGCTTTATCATGAGATGACAGGGAAGGGCATTTCTCCAAATGTATACACCTTCACTACATTGATTTCTGGTTGTTGCCGGGCAAATATGATGGCAGAGGCTATTAGGTTGTTTGATGAAATGGTGGAACGAGAAATTAAGCCCACTGAAGTAACTTATAATGTAATAATTGAAGGATATTGTAAGGAAGGCAACATAACAAAGGCATTTGAGTTTCTTCATGAAATGATAGAAAAAGGACTTGAACCTGATTCATATAATTACAGGCCTTTAATAAGTGG